CTCAGCGGGCCCAGCCCCGGCCCTGCTCTGCCTCTCGGGGGAGTCACTGCGCCGTCCGAGCACCGAGCCTCGCGGTCCAGGCCAGGAGGCGCCTCCCACCCTCACAGCGGTCCCAGGACAAGGAAGCCGCCTGGCTCTGTAGAGCGCAGAGCGGAGCTGGCCCCCCGACAGCCGTGGCAGCGCAGGGCGCGCTCTCCGGGTTCAAATCCCAGCCCCAGCTCCAGCCAACAGCCTCCTGGTATCACCTATGAAATGAGTCACAGCCGGACCACCCTCCAGGGCGACAGTGAGGAAAGCACGGCCAGAGTCACTGGGCCCTCCTGCCCTGGGGGCGAGCGGGCTCCACTCTCCCAGGCTTCCCAGCAGCTCGCCCAGGCCCGCCCTGACCGGGACCCCAGCAGCTCGCCCAGGCCCACCCTGACCGGGCTGCTCCATCAGCCACCCTACCCAGCTTGGCCTTCTGCTCCTGGCACCGTTCCACAAGCTTCCGGAGCTCCTGGTACTTGTCCGAGAGATTCGAGCGGCTGATCTCCAGGGGGCCCTGGAACTCCAGGTTCCGCTCGGCCAGGCTGCGGTTGGTGGCCAGCGCCATCTCCCGCTCCAGCTGCAGGTCCTGGACCTGAGGGACAGGACACCTGGCCTGAGAACCACCCCGCCCAGCAGGCGGCAGGCTGGCCCAGGGCCTCCGGGGAATCGCAGAGCTCAGCCGGCGGCGAGTGCCAAAGGACCTGGGCTCACCCCTGAGCCGGCCTCCACCGGCACCTCCCGAATTCTGGCCCATCGGCCGGTGTGGTGGAGACACGTGGGACACTGGCCCAAGGCCACAGCTGGCCCAAGGCCCAGGACAGCGCACCGTGGACTGAGCAGAGCAGGAGGGTGGTGGAGGACCAATTTATAGGAAAAGCCCCAGACTTTCCAGGAGGGAAGGGACCAAGAGCCCCAACACTTTCCCACAGGATTCAGAGTCAGCCACCTGCTCTGAGGCGGACTAAGGTGGCCCAGGCCAGACCACAGGCCCCAAGTCAGTGACTCTGAGGGCGAGTGAGCCAGGAACAGACCGCGGCACTGACTCGGGGGATGCCCCTGCCTCCTGGGCCACGTGTGTCCTGCAGAGAACTGTGCAGATGAGCGAACAGAGGGGCCCCCAAGAACCATAGGGGAGTCCCTACGGCCAGAGGACTCCCACCAAAAGGCGACCTAATGCCAACCTCTGCCCTGGACATGCCCTGGGAAGGCACTTCCCCAAGCTGGGCGGCGCTTCGCCCTCAGCCCAGTCCTGGCCACCAGCCTGAGGTGGCAGCCACAGGAACCCTGGCTGGACCTGCGGTGACCAGAAGCCCTGCCCATTTGCCGGGGAATCGTCTTTACCAAGATGAGGGCGAAGAGTCAGAGCCCCCACCCTGAGACGGGGGACAATCCCCCTCCAGCACCAGGTGGCACCAACACCCAGGGCAACGGCACCTGAGCTCCGTGGCCACGTCCGGCGCTGCCCTCTCCTACCTGGCGGGGGAGCCACAGGGCCAGAGCCAGGAGGGCAGGCAGGCCCTTCACGACATGGGAAGCCCTTTATAACTGGTGACATCCCAGCTGGGCAGCAGATGGGAGGGCGCTCTTTATCCCCAGGAGGACAGATTAGGGGCCCTGGACTCCAAACTCCCAGGAGCCCCGGGAACTGGGCTGACATTTCAGGGGAGTCTCCGGTTGGGTCCCAACCAGGGGGAAGGCCACAGAAAGGGAGATGAACTTGGCCCAACTCCCAGCCAGCCAGCGTTCTCAAGCGCCTGGGTGCCCTCTGCGGGCCTCCCTCTACCTCAGGGGCCTCCTGGGCCAGCCGGTCGATGGCCTCCGGGTCGTTCTGCATCTCCTCCAGCTCCTGCAGGGTCTTGTCTTTCAGGGTCTCCATCGCTCCCTGTGGACACAGGACGGTGCTGATGTGAGGGGAGAAGCTGGCGGGGTGCAGACAGACGAGCTTCCTGAGGGTGCTCCCCGCCAGGGCGGCTCCAGGGGGGCAGGGGTCCCATTTCCTGTGCTCCTGCCGCCCTGCCCAGCCTCTCCCCAGGGAGACCAAGGAGCTGCTCCTTCCGCCCAAACATGGCCAGCGGGACGTGAGAATGCACTCAGCAGCCAGAGGGAGCACAGATGGCGCTCCCCGAGGAGCAGATGGGAGAGGCGAGCAGAGAGCGCCGCAGCCAGGGGCGGGGAGAAACTGGCCCCAGGTGATGCCAGCGCCCACCCTGGCATGTGTCTATCTCCATCCGGACCAGGAATACCTCCACCCTCACCCGGGCCTGGCTGGCTGCGCCAGCACAGCCCCCAACACCGCCGCTGGTTACATGTAGGCACCGGCAGCCTTGGGTCCCCTCGGGGTTCTCTGAAATGCCATCCTCCCCACATGCCACAACGGACTGTCACGTTCACGTCCTCATCACGACAGGGAAACAATTCGCCGACTGGCTTCCCAGGCAGCCAGGAGGAAGAGAAACAGCGACCTGCACAGCGCGATGCTCTGGCGAAGAGCCACCATCTGCCCGGGGGACACCCACAGACCGTCTGCATGACAAGGCCCACAGCCAGACCCGGGGCCAGGAGGAGGAGGCGCACACAGAACACCCACGGCTCGCTGGGTGCTGTGCTGATCTGTCTAACTTTTCTAGAAGGTGCTGCAGAGCCTGCCTTCGTGTTGGTCTGCTCACTCCCAAGGCCGCTCGTGTCCTGAAGATTCTGACGCTGGGGAAGCTGCAGTCCCCCACACCCCGCCCCGGTGCCGGTCCAGTGAGTCCGCCCCGACTCGGCCAACGGGGTGCTCTGGGCCCCGGTGACAGCCAGGGCAGCTTCTGGGGGTGGCGCCTGGCGGCAGGAGCAGCGCGCCTCAGGTGGGGCACCTAGGCCGACGGCCCCTCCGCTGTCACAGGCACGTCGCATGCCTCTCTGCCTTCATGTCACACCTGCGACAGGCATGCGGGCTTGAGAGGGAAGCGATCGAGAAAGCAGAGGAGGTGGGATTAGAGGAAGTGCTACATCCAGTGCCACGGTGGCCAGTGACATCGCTGCTGAGAACATGCTGGCCGGACAGAGGCCGCCTCCATTTCCCCATCTGTCACAGAAAGGGACAGGCACCTCCGAGGGTCACAAAAGGTGAAGAGAGGAACGGACAGGCCCAACCACACCC